CAAACTCCAAGTTTCAGCTACCGTGGGTGGTTCTCGTGCTGGATGGAGGCCTCGTAGCTTTTTGTCCTCAGATTGATAGAATTGACGACCCTTTTTAGCACTGCCGGGCAAAGCGCTCTCACAAAAACACGCAGCTGGCCTGGGTTCTATAGTAAATCATGTGGTTTCTTTACTATGGTAACTTAAATTACATTCCTTAACAAGAACCCAGTGGTGTAAGGAGCCGGCACACCTTTCGCGCTGAAGTAATGTCCTCGAGGATCCTCGACATGCTGGGTGCCTGTTCCCAAAGAACGGCTTGGCACTACAACTTAGAGTTGGGCTTTTGGGGTTTTCTTCGAGCAAATTAAAGAATCATAAGGAGCGCGGAGGAAATTTTAAGGTCCTATGTGACCTATGGCTCCGCAGCCAGACCCTGATGGGGATACAAGCTCAGGAAGTGGAGCACATGAGGAGTCATGAACCGGCATCTGATCCAGGAAAGATTTTTATGTTTTCTCGAACGCCAATCAGAGCTCAGCTCATGCATTTGAGCTGCAACATGTGTTCTCACCACTTGACATTGCGAAAGCTGCAGCACACGACATGTTACTAGCTGCAGGCACACGGGTCGCACCACTCACTTCCAACCAACTATGACTTGCATGCGCGAGCGTGCGCCTAAGTCTTAAGTCAGCACCTGAGTGAGTGAGTGAGTGAGTGAGGGCATGCGTGAGTGTGTGAGTGCGCGAGTGAGTGAGTGTACTTGGAGGGGTTCACGTCTTCTACATACTAGAGCCCCCGAATCAGTGAACAGGAATCGACAGCCCTTCCATCCTTCCAACTGACACATGAAGAGATGCGCTAGTCATCCACGGCAGCAGCATGCCGGATAAGCTGATGGAATTTGAGGGTTATGTCGGTTCTGCGCAAAGTTGTCGAGACGTGCCTGGCACGCAGACTCTCCGTCCCTTCAACGTGCAGCAACCCTCCGTTGAGAACTCACTCAAACCCAATGTGGGTTGTTGTCAAAATTATGGTCCCTTTTTGGGCACCCTAAACATTAGGTGCCGTATTATGATAAGGACCCAAAGCGGGACCCTAATTTTGACAACCCCCCAATGTCTTCAACACGGTCGCCTGCAGCAGCGGGCTCCTGCCCATGGGGCGGCATTCGTGTGTCGATATGGGAGTTTCCGAAACTAGGGACCCTAATATAGTACCTACCCGAAATAATAGGGTCCATGTTATAAGAGCCCCAGAATCAGGTACCCCGAATTTTCGGAACCTCCCATATATTGACTGGAAATGAATGTGCGCCTGTTGCGCGCCTTTTCCTATCAGAGAGGAACACCGTTTGGGAAGACAGTGAAAAGGAAGGGTTTAAGGTTGAAAGGTAAAGCCTAAACTGTGACGCCGTGTCGTACTAGTTCCAGGCTCTGTATACGCAAATGGTGTCGACAGCGTGGCTCTCGCCTCCCTTGAGGTGTGCCCCACATGCCAAGTGGGGCCTCTTTTACTATAGTTATAATAAGGAACCCCCAAAATAGTCTTGGTAATTATGGAGGCCCCTATATTACGTCGAACCGAAGCATAAACGCATGCGGGCTAGTGCTTCCTTTTTGCATTTTCCCTCTCCCACTCGCTCGACAAAACAAACTTGGCCCTATTAGCCTTGAACTCCGGACGGGGGCCTGGGCCCGGTAACTGCCAAGAGCCAAGTGCTCGCATCAATGTGACTGTATGGGTCACTGTAGAGGGGATTCCGTTTCCACTTTTGCGGCGGTGGCTAATTTGAGAGGCGTGGTCGCGTATTTTCGGCTAGACGGACACATGAATGAATGCATTGTCTCAATGCATGTGCATATGTGCACACACACGTATATGGCGAACACCAGAGTTTACCGTGGGATATCACAGTATTCAAGAATGTCTAAGCAATATAGAATGGTAAGCAACTGCAACGGCACCATATGTTGAAGTCGCAGGTTGCAGCAGCAAGTAAAAGCATGCAATAAACACGGAAGCGCAACGACAGAAGGCAATCCAGATTCACTTTGGAAGCGACAGCGGCTAAGTACTACTTCAGGGATTCATTTTTGCCACCCGCCCAGCTGAAACAAGTCGCACCGCAGGGAACTCGTCAGGACTCGAAAGACTAGAGTGTGGGCCCTGGGGAGGATACGTGTGCCACGTCGACAGGCCCAGGAGCAAGTGACAAACATACTTCAAGGGCACACGTAGCTTCGCCGAGCCGGAGGCTCAGTTTAGTAAGGTTTAGGGCTGTGAGAGCAGCCAGGCAAAGACGGCTGAAGCGATAACGGCGACACCAGGCAGCCTTCCTCGCAGCCAACATGGGGCTGACAACGCAACAGTCTGCACGGGGATAGCCCTCGCAGTGGATGGGTGGACGATTACTGCTGTTGACAACTCCGAAGTAAGGCCTGTTGGGCTGCCCAGCACGAGAGGCAAGCAGAGGATGCTGCCACATCGTTCTTACGCGCGATCGCTGACGCTGTGTTTGGGAGGTGCCCTTGGGATTGTGCGGATGGTCCCACAATCGGCTTCTCCCGGTCAGCCGAGATCATCTCGGCGAGGAACAAAATGTAACAACCAGCCCGTCAGTGGCATGGGTCTTTTTTATTTCATAACACTTTCTGATGAAGTGAGAGATGTCTGCCTTGGACTTTGGATGAAGCGTGTTTTGGTATGCGTTCGAAGGGTGGGCGGGGGGGAGGGGCGGGCAGGATGCATAATTGAGCGCACATGCACATGGTGAAGGAGGATGTGTGGAATCACAGGGGCAAAGGTTCAAACTGGAGGATTTCTAAAGATCGCATGCTTGCTCCAGCTTCACCCCGGCCAGAACTGCAACTACTCGGAGGCGGCGAGCAGGCACGCGTGCTCGTATGTATGTGTAGGCGAAACCACATGTACACATGTGTGTACATATGTATATATATATATATATATATATCGATGTGCACACATGCAACACACATACGTGGGGCATTTTTCAAAGACGGATGAATCTAAACAAACCCAAAAACACATGTGTATGCGTATATATGAATGTATTCGTCGATTCTCTCTCTCTCTCTCTCTCTCTCTCTCTCGCTCTCTCCCTCCTGGGCATGGAGGCCGGTCAAGGCCCCCGGGGCTTAAAAGCCCGCCCGATAGTGTTTATCGGGACAAGGGGAGTGACGAACGTGTGTATGACACCCCTTTGGCTACAGCCGTAAAGTCTAAGATGACGAACTCAGGATGTACGACACTCTCGGATGCACATATTCGTACATCTCCATCTCTCTCTCTCTCTCTCTCTCTTCCGGGCTTGGGGATCACGGCAGCGTTCAGGCCGATCACCCCGTGCGTGCGCACACCCGCTTGTCGCGGGAGGTCTAACCCCTCCAAAGGATTTCTCTTTGGGGGCTCGGCTTTACTGTGACTACGGTTCACCACGCTGCTCCCCCGGCACAAAACGAGACATATAAGAAGAGGTTGTTGAGCAGCATGGATCCCCGTCTCTCACATGTGCCTCACGGCCGAGTTGCGATTTCAGGGGTCCCCACTGCTGCACTAGCGAATTGCTGCAACTCGCGAGGTCCCCCTGTTGGCAGTTGCACTCTGGTTGGAAACAGACGAACTTACCCGCAGAGATGCAGAACATGAAAAGCATTCGTCCCCCGTACAACTGCCGTGGCTTACTCTCTCTCTCTCTCTCTCTCTCTCTCTCTCTCTCTCTCTCGTAGCATGTCGATCGTACCGTTTTCCTGGAAACCTTGCCGAAACCTGTTAAACGAACCTTCCAAGAGCGCATGTCCTTTGTCCGGTAGAAGCATCGCTCCAAGCGACCGAAACCAAGAATGACCAGCCTTAGCCGCCCTTAGAACCACAATAAACGAAATTTTCTTAATCACTTCAAGTTATATTGTAAGGAAAACAAAACATAAGTCCTAAAAGCAGCAAAGCAGCATCAGGATCACAACATCGGTCACCTCAGCAGAGCTGTTTAGGATTCTCTCGCCTCGGGTTACGGCTGAGGGTTAGGGCTAGACCCTTGAGTGGGGGTATGTGACATACGGTATGTGGATCGAAAGTAGTTGCTGAGTAGGGGTATCATAGATTTCGGGTAGAATGCACGGGATTCTTACAGTACAGCTTTCTCAGACTAGTCACTCTGCCTAGAACAAAACATGGCTTCGGGTTTAGGGGCGAGGGATTTCGGCACTCACACTCGGGCGAGGGATTTCGGGTTTGGGGTTTAGGGCTAACTCAGCACTTGGCTCAAAAATGCTCAACACGATTCAGGTTGGTTGTGAGCAACAACCGATCGTGATGCCTTGCAACACGAACTTCAGGCAAGGAGAGTCTTGCAATCGTAGAGAACTTGCCAAATTACCTTGCTGTCTTTTTGGTTTTGGCTGTCAGGACTACTACTCTGGGTGCCACGCAAGATCGAAGGCATAGTCACTCCAGGTGTAAGTCGAATTGATCTTTTTGAGCTTCAGCACCTGCGACGTTGTTGTGATTGCCAGCGCTGCGCATCCATCACCAAGATCCAAAGTTCAGGCCCTAAACCCGAAACCCTAAACTCCAATAAACCCGACAAGCTGCACTCTCAAAGGCTATTGCGACTCAAGCCCTCTCAACCCCCAACATGACAGGTATGCACTGCGCAAGGTTGACCTAAATACCCAAAATCTTGAGCCACCTCTACTCCTGAGCTTAAGTGACTTAAAATGACGTAATTGCATGTTGCCAAGTGTTCGTCGGTTTGCAGTTACCTCTGATGTCAAAAACAGAAGTCCGCCATGTTGGCAAGTGAGCCATCAGACCTCAGCATAGGTCTTACTTCAGGCTCTCCAACTATGCCTATGCTCAGACACGTGGTCAGTTCCTGCTGCTTGTCCGATGATCGCGGATAGCGCAGACGCCAATGAATGATGTATTTGCCCCGAACCGAAACCCCTAAATGTGACGCAAATCCGAGACGTCACCCCGCACTCGACACTCGACACCTCTTTCTTGCCCGCTGTGTAGCCACTTTCGAAGCCACTCTGGTACTTCACACCTGGGTCTGAACTTTCAGGCTCGGTCCGAATATGTCGGGATTGCTGCGAAAGGGTCCTGACCAGCAAATGGCTATGCCGAGCATCATGCAAACCGTTGGATTTCCACCGCAACAGGTAAGTACTGTCGAACCTGCATGATGGACTCGTTAGTCAGTGTTCTCCTGTTACTTGCTGCAACTCTTCCTCACAACCAGAAGCCACGAATTGCCGGTGACTGCCCAGAATAGAAGTGGACTGGGATGCACGGCGGCCATCTTCTCTAAAACCTGGGTTTGCGGAGAGGCCTTTGCACAAGTCGGCCTTGCTTTTCGGCTTCGGGTCGGCAGCCATCTGGAAGCCGGCACTAAACGGTCATTGAGGGGTTTAGGGTTGAGGGTTCAGGGCTTTTTCCCTCCTGCCTAGCAAGGACGACATTGCAGGGTGTCTCGGTTCTGGTTCAGGGTTTAGGGTTTAAGGTTGATTATTTCGGGTTTAAGGTTGATTAAGGGTTCTGCGACTTCGACGCTCGCGCTCGAGTATTGCAGGCAAGACTCTTCACGACAAGGTCGACCACAACTTGAAAACACAGCTTATACTCCAAAACCCCACCACCCTAAACTCCTAGAGCTTGGATCCAAATCCAAACAGCCCAAGACTCAGAGCTTAGGCAACGGCAGTGCAAGCCTACCTGGACCCCAAAATTATGTAGAATAATAGCCTTTATATGTTTTGGGCCATTATTTTCCCTACTTTGGGGGGCTGGAAGCCGAAGCCCGAAGAGCTAGCAAGACACCTTTCCTGAGGGTTGCTGTTGTGGTTGGTAGCTTCAGTTAGATCCCTAAACCCCTTTTTCCACAGGCTTGATTAGTGCTCTCACGGCCAGAATCCTTAAACCCCTTTCAGCACGGACTGAGGTGCCGGCCAGCGCCCACGAAACTCACAGCCCCGTTTTAAGGCAAGAGTTCGAAGGAAAAGCTGTAGAAAACAACTGACTGAAGCTTAAGCTGAAGATCCCTCGAGAGAAAAGAACAAGAGCAATCACTGCACCATCTGTTCAAGTATAGAATACTGATGCGCATCCACGTACTCGCACAGCAAAGCTTGACGATGTTGTTGCCACATCAAGGATTTTAACGGTGAGCAAAACCCCTAAACTGCTGAGGGGTACTTTTCCGAATCCTCCGGGTGTGTTGGGACGCTTGTGCCGGGCTGCTGAATGGTGCCGAGGTCCCGACCCAGCTCACCCCAATCTTCCACGGTGCACGACTCCTGCAGCCACATATAGGGGAGTCTCTAACTTCGGGTTCCCTGGGGTCCCTATGAAACAGGGTGTAAAAAGGGTGGGGGTTCTACGATATTGCGACAATATTGAAAAGGGGTCGTGCTTAGATCTTGGACATCAGTGGAGGCAAAGGGGTCAGGAAACCAGGAACCCCATGTGCAAAGCCCCAAACTGCAACTTCTGGTTGAGCATACTAGTTTGCATGGTAAAACTATACTAAAGTTACAGTATGGGATACGAATATATATCATGGTATACTAGAACTACATCACAGTATCCCCAGGGGTCCAAGAACCGAATAATCATATACTCTCCAAAATCCTAACCTACAGAACTACTATCCTAAAACCGAGTACTTACTTATTGGGTCCTTTGGACCCTTGGGGTATGGTATACCCTTTTCTAGTATGGTACGGCTACCGAGATCGCCTCGGTTAGAGGCTCGATGGGGCTGAGAGAAGGGACGGATCTCTTAGGGCAGCTATAAAAGCTCCTTTAAGGGATCCATTGAGGGATCTATAGGGTTCCTTTAAGGGATCCTTTGAGGGATCTATAGGGTTCCTTTAAGGGATCCTTTGAGGGATATATAGGGCTCCTTTAAGGGATCCTTTGAGGGATCTATAGGGTTCCTTTAAGGGCTCCGGGATAAAGAACTAGGAGGGTTCAGGGGCTTGGGAATTTAAGGCTTGGGTTTGGGGATAATGAACCATTGTGGAGCTTCCTGGAAGCTTGTCATCTCACGTCAAGAAGTTCGACTGGGCAAACAGTGCTGCGAAGCCCGGAATGCACCTTTCCGCGAACGAGTCCGCTTTCAAAGCAGGCTTGATCATTGCCTTAGGCGGCCCCGTGAAATTTTCGACAATAGGGGACGCTAATATAATACCTAAATAGTAGGATCCTTAATATAAGGACCCCAATATACATAAGCTACGCTTAATTTCCAAGCTTTCGGCATGCGGGAGTTGCCAAAGCCGGCCTCTGGGGTTGTCGAAGTAGGCCGCTTGTGAGGTGTACTGGGCTGAGGAGGATGATAGTAGTAAGAGGCACAGTCCTCATTCTCAACAGCATGCAGAGATTGCAGAGATGATTCAATCTTGAAGGAGGCTCGTACAACATGAGATTCGAAACCATGCAACCATGGAATCGCCCGCTACTGTGCAGACAGAGCACCTTCCCGGCATGTCGGATCGCTGGACTTGCCACAGCCTGCTATCCAAGGCGGTTCACACGGTTGCCAGGCTATAGGTTCATGGTTTCTTCATGCCTCGGAACCTGGTGTCCATGCCAAAGTATATTCGGAGGAGGATGGACATCAAACCATGGTCTTACGAGGGAGAGTTGCGGCACCTGACATGGCGGCGAAGTCTTTAATGTCTTTCGTGGCATGTCGTTCTCCAATCGCCATTAGACAAAAGCTGGCAGATTGTATTTGTAGGATGGGAATACCATGCATTCAGACCTCTGTGCCTCCATCATGCAGCACGACGAAGTACTTACTGCAAGCGTCCAGTAAACTGCTGTGTCGACAGATCCAAAGTCTCTGCTCCATCACAGTCCCCTGCAGGCCGCAGTGAGCCAAGTTACCAGCATTATAAGTGCGGCGAGTCCCTGAAACAGGAAGGCTCCGTTGCCAGGGGGGAGGCAAGGGCCCTCGACGTATCGCCTTTTGCAAATTATCGCCAAGAAACCGTTGCTAGCTGATTTGCAACCTGCTGGAGATTGATTTGCTGGAGTGTGGATGCCAAGGTCATGCAGGCTGGGAGACATCAGTTGCTCGGCCTCCACAACTTTGGTACAGCAAGGGTTTAGGATGTATTTCGGGTCAAGCTCCCGGATCTCGTCAGCTCCCAGCAAGGGATGGGCAACATCAGTCACCCAAACACACACATGCCTGCTTGCGCGCATGTTCGCGACGAGGTTCCTACAGCTCTCGGCTGCCTCACCCTAGACTCTCCAAGCATCTACAGACTTGGCTGCAGTCTAAATAATGCGATGCCACGCAACATGAAGCATGTCCTGCAAGAGTAAATGGGCCCAAGCCTTGCAGGCTGGTAGACACCAAAAGAACTGCTGCGAGAACCTCGCAGTGTGCTCAAATGATTCAGGTCAAAACGCTGAAAACATGTGAAACCTTGGGCGAGCCATATTAGCCAGAAGCTGGTACGAGTACGAGTTTTGATTCGGCCTGCACGATCTGGGAAAGTTTCACGCGACACGGATCTTGCTACACTGGCATCGGGTGCTGAGCCACGGGAAGCCCGCGTCCCACCCCAGTAGCCTGGGCAACCTGAAAGCCGGAGATCCTGTGTACTTGCATATCACATGTACATATATGTATATATGTATACATGTATGTATATTATATATATATATATATATATATATATATATATATATATATGGATATATGGGTATATAGTCTTTGTCTCTGGAATGCTCTCTCGCACTCTCTCCCTATATACATATATACATATATATATATATGTATATGTATGTATACAATACACACACATATATATATATATAAATGTGTGTGTGTGTGTGTCTGTGTGTCTGTGTGTCTGTGTGTGTATGTGTATGTGTATGTATTCTTAACATGGCACGAAGGGACCCGGACCCTGGGAGCTGACGGCCGGGGACGAAGGCGCGCCATGGCAGCCGGAGGATGCCGGAAGTATGAGACTTGAGATGGGTGGTTGTCAAGATCAGGGTCCCTGTTTGGGTAATTACCCTAAAAAAATGGGTGCCGTATTATAATAGGGACCCCACAAGGGACCATAATTTTGACAACCACCCAGATGTTTCTGACTGTTTCATTCCTTTGTTTGCAAAGACTTTTATATCTGTTTCATTCATTCCTCAAACCCCAAAACGCCTAAACCAGGGGAGAACAAGTATACTCTCTTGAGGATGGAACTGCGCAGGGCTGGCATGGTTCTAGTTTGGCAGCATGATCAGCTTCGGCCGGGTCTGCCATCTGCCTTTGTATCTACCCATCTGTTGCTTGCTTACTTCATTTGCTCACAATCGTTGAGCGGTATGTACTTACAAGGAAAGGCTGGATCAACGCTCAAGGTCCCGACTGTGGCGGCACACCGTGCATGTAGAAGATGCCACAGCATGCGAACAACACGCACCGGCACAAAGTCGGGTTGCCAAATGGATTCCTCCTCTAAAAACACACAGACAGATGTGCGAATGCTGGGGCATCATACAGGAAAGGAGCAACGAGTGCTTTCTCATGGCGTGGGCCTGTTTCCTCGTTGAGCTGCAACTCATGTTCCAAACCCCTTGCAAACCTTCACATATGTTTATGTTGGGTCTAAGGTACTAGAGCGCCGGCGGGGTTGGGGGCAGGCGTGGGTTGGCGGGGATTGGGCTGGGGCGGCATGGGGCGGCCAGGGGTGGTGCTGCTGGGTTCGGGGTCGGTTCTTGGTATGGGCCTTTACGTACACTTCCTCCGTCCGTTTTCCAGCCCTACACCAGAACCCTTCGACCAACGCACCTACACCCTCGACCCTAAACCCTCTCTTGTCCCCTAAACCCTACCTGAACCGTGAGAAGCTGACATAACGCTGCGAAACTCTTCTTTTCACCAGGACCCCTCTGTTGGAGAAGGGCGCCCCGGCTTGTCAGCAGCAGGCCTTCCAAGAAGGCTTGTCTTTCAGGCTGAGTCTGTGGTTTCGGATTTGTTGTGCTTTAGGCTGTTGGGGCTCCGTTTGGGGTTTGGGCTTTCGAGCTCTCTTTACGGTTTGCAGGGCCATTTGGGGCATTTCCGGTTCAGGGATCTCTTTGGGCTGTCTGAGTCTAGGATTGTCTGGGGTGCGGGCTTGTTGAAGCTCCATGTAATAAGCCTTGGTTGTGTTGTTTGTCTCCTCGTTACCCCCAAATCCCGCCTTGCGCTGGCGCCGCTCGCGCCGCCGGGCGGCAGCCAACGCCTCGGGGTGCCGCTGCTTAAATTAAGTTCTGACCCAAGCTTTGATGTCGAAGGTCCCACCTCTCGCTCTTTAGATGCTGTCACTGGCGAGTGCTTTGCAAACCAGATGCTTTCAAGTGCTGTGTGTAGCACCTGTAACTGTATAAGACGTCTGGACAACATCAAAATAGTTGCTCTCTGTTCTGCATCCTGGTTGCATTTGGTTTGCGCGTTTCTCTTTGTATTCCGGTTGTGTGCATGCGTGCGTGTGCGTCTGTGTCTGTGTGTGTGTGTGTGTGTGAGTGAACCTCTCTCGTTCATGAGACAAGGGGCTCACAACCCAACCACCGAGGCCTCCGGGGAGCGGTGATTAACGAAGACCTTTTGGGAGAGCCTGTGCAAACGAACCTCTTCTCTCCACCCTTATTGTATCTGGGGCCGTCGTGCCAGCTGGTGATTGAGGAGCGGAGATGACGACGGGACGAGGACTACGACGACGAACACTAAGACATTTTGCCACAGCCATACAAAGCCAGCAAGAGTATCTTGAATCGAGAATCCGTCCGAGAGTGCAACCAACACTTTCTCAGTCAGTCAGGGTGTCTGTGTGCGGGTGTGTGTGTGTGTGTATCCCTGAAATCAAAGGGCACTTCTTGGTCAAAAAGCAGGGGAGTGGTGCATGCTGCTGGAGTCACCACTCAACGAAGACGCTCCTTCAGCATGGTGATATGGAATCGGGACGCCGATTCCACGTACCTGCAAGTGACTATGGCAAGGGGCTAAGCCAAGAACCCCTACAGGACCCTTGCTGTACATTGATTATGCAGTGCACCACTGAGATGAAGATGTAACCATGTGCTAGCTACTCCCACCATGGAGTTTGCAAGTGTGTGTGTGTGTGTGCGCGCGCGTGCCTGTGAGCGTGGGACCGTGCGTGCGTGCTTGTTTGCTCGTTCGTTTGTTTGCTTGTTTGTTTGGGTATGCTGCGTGTTGTGCATTTCGGCTTTGCTATTTGTTTTACATTATGTGGTGCTCCTGTTTATGGTAGTTTATCATGCGTTTCAGTCCTTGCCGCCGTCGTGGGACATGTTGTCTCTCAAGCTTGCCTTTCTTGGAGGACATGCATCATGCTGAAAAGCAACATTCGCCTGTAGCACCAATATCATCGAGTTGCGCGCTGCAGCAAGGGAGTTAGTTCCTTGCCAACTGGTGTACGGCTGTGTCTCATTTGCACACATGCGGGAGCATGCTGGAGCAAGAAATAATGCAATGCATGTACGTTTTCATACTTGTAAGACCGTGCAGACGTTCCGTAGGTACACAATGGCCGTCTAGTCTACAAGTCCAGAATTGCAAACCACCCTGCGGCTCTGTGCCCAGCCTCTCGCCGGGCAAGCATGATGGGAACGCAAAACAGATGCAAAGCGCTACTTAAAGGTTCATGGGACTTAGTAGCTATGGTTATAAACAAGGTAACTATACTCATAATTGGATATGACCCCAGTTAGGGTACTTATAACCGTACTTAATGTACTTACTAAGTCCCATGAACCCGCAAGTATAGCTCGGCACACGAGGCAAAAAAGACGCGACTGCTACGGCTCAGACCCATGGCCACATCGACAAACCAAGTGAAACGCAAAAACACACACTGTCACGTGCAACACGCAAGAACAAAAGCAACCACTGTAGGGCTTTTTTGCATCTTCAGCCCCGGGCAGCACCCGGAGCTGCCGTCCCAAGTGTTTGGCTGTTCGCTTTTGCGGTTTCTTCGCCTTTGCCGGGCCAAGGGAAGCCTTGCACTGCAGGGTTCGTGGAGGTTTCAGGGCAGCACTTTCGAGGCACACGTCCCCCGGCCTGATTACGATTGAACGGCCCAAACCCATGCACAGTCCGGACAGTTTGGGTGCTATAGGCACAGCTATAAGATTTGTTGGGCCACAGAATACAAAAAGGGACGTGACCAGAAATCTATTTTGAGTTCAGGTCGCTGTGGGAGTGCGTTTTTGTGTTTCGAACTTGTCGCGTGACAAGACAATCGAGAGCATAAAGACGAGCAACGAAAAGCAATAGCAGAGACCAAAGTTTGCTGAGTTGACACAAAATAACAACAGCATAGACGACTCTTTTCTCAACGACAGCTTCCCAAACTGTCGTGTTTGTATGTGTATATCTGTGTGTACTAATGGTTTGTGTTTCCTTGAGCAACTATCGGTTATGAGATTGTTGTTTTATAGTTTATGCATTGGGCATTGGTTCGATTGCGTTTGTTGACCTATGTGCATCTGCGCGTTGCTTATTTTGAGCTCCTTGTCATACTCTACCGTATCTCTAACTATATTGCTTGGGTACACCGTTCTACCGTGAGCGACGGAATCCTGGAACATGTCCCCGGGCAAACAGGACCCCTTCTTTGCGAGTTTCACTGGCTCCCAGGGCAGACTCAGCGCAGCCGATTACTTCAGGAAAGGACGTGATTAAGCTGTCACAATCCACCGTGGCAAAGGAGACACGGCGTCCGCAGCTCAATCAGAAGCTTGCTAAGGCAGACAGGAAAGGGTTTGGACGGCACACATTACAAGGGAGAATGCCGGGACAGAAGCAAGACGAAGGGGGGGCAGGGGCGCCAGAGTGCAAAGGGCAGAGGCGGAAGCAAAACGGCAAGCCGCATGCAAACCCTGAGAGTATACTCAAGACGCTGAACCCCACACACAGTCCGAGGCGCGCGCAATTTTGACGTCGGCTGCTGGTGCCCTTAGGTTTTGGGTGTTGCACTATATTGCCTCAGCAAGATATGCGATCTGTTCAGAGCTGGGGCTGCGGCTGCAGATCAAAAGACAGGATCTGGGGCTCTGGAGCGAAGCGGACCTGCACGCAAAGAAATGAGCGAGCGAAAGAACGAAGCGACCCCAACCCCCCTTTTCCCGGCCGCAGCTGCCGGCTTTCGCCGGCCCGCAGACCTATGAGCCTTTGCCGCCGGTGTCAAAGTACAACAGCTCCACCACGACCAGCTCCACAACCCGGACCAAAAACCTGGGACGGTGCAGCTGACACAGTGAATGACTGGCATTGACCTCTATGACTATGGTGAGCACCCGGCCTTCCTCCTCGGACTTCATGCCTGCACAAAGCCGGCGTTCGTGTTCGAGGCTGTGAGCTGTCAATTACAGTCATAAGCGCGCCTCCTTCTTTTTGGTTCCGAATTAAAAAGGGACCCTAAACTTATGTAGCTACTCACATACGATCTCTGCCGCACGTAGAACGATGAACGAGCAGATTTGCCTCACAGGCATCATGGATTCTACGTCCAAACTTCGAAAGCCACCCCACCGCCGCACATTCCTTATGGAACCCTTAAAAAACCTTATGAAAACGAAACCCCCCAACATGCTGCCCCCTCCAATAGGCCTCCGGCTCGACTATTACTCGAGCCCGCCGTTCGTCCAGCCGAATGGAGTCCCGCTGATACGCGCTCCTGGAGCAGGCGTTTGGATTCCGGGCCGCAAATGCACTGTCCGAAAATTCCAGACTTTTTCCCCTGAATTTGGGGTTAAGGGTTCGCAGTGCTTACTCGGACATTGTAGACCCGGCCATGTATGTAGACTCAGATACATAAGGCCCACTCACACACACACACACACACACACATGCGCGCACACACACACACTCGCGTGTGCCGGTACATGTGAGATGATCGCATGCTCTCAGCTTGCACCAACGTCACCTACTTTTAACTTGTTGCAACCTCGGGCCGTGCCCTGATCTTGAACAAGCAACCTCTCACCATGTTTCCAAAGACAAACCCTTGCATATAGTTGTGAAGCCCCGACACTTGAAGTGCAATGACAGTTTTGGCTTGTCCAAGCTAGAAAGATGCTGCACCGATCCCTAACGGCATACATGCTACCAAGAAGGATAATGAGATATCTGAACTCATGCGAAGTGAATTGGATGCTAGGGTATGCTCAGCGGAGAAAATGCATCGAAGAGTTCCGTAAACCAATACCAAACCGGACAGCCTCAGTCCTCTGTGGGTAAAACCCAACAGCCCCACACCCTACACGGTGTAAACCCTCAACCTTCGAACTCTGAACCCCTAACCCTTAACCTTTTGCTGCAGTCTTGCTTGCAAGGACGCCTGGTAGTTTGCCGCTCTTCCGCCAGTTAGGGCCGTGCTCGTGACAGCGCCCCTAGCTTCTGAGCATGCGGCTGAGAGACCCTTAACCCTAAACCCCGAACCCTAACCCTTGACCCTTTTTAACTGGACTCAAGTCTAGCCAGTCTACGACCCTAAACCCTAAACTCTAAACCCTAAATCCTAACCCTTAACCCTAAACCCCGAACCCTAACCTTTAGCCCGAAACCCTCTCTTTCATGGGCACTCCCGAGCCTCTGATGCAGCTTTGTCCACTGCCAGTCCTGATGCTCGGGTCTGCAGTTTCGGCTTACATCTTGGTTGTTGATGGTTGCAATGTATATAGAGTCTTCAGTAGTGAGTATGTGCACAAAAACCTTCATAGCAGTACTCAACATACCACCCTTTCCGGAGCTTACTTGGGTCTATGACGGACACTTGTCGAGACTGGTGTGGGCTGCAGAGTTCCCCGGGCCCTTGGGATGACCTCAACTTACAACTAATGTGGGAGTTTCCGAAAATAGGGACCCTAATATAGGACCCTAAATAGTAGGATCCTTACTATAGGAACCCCAAAGGAAGGTACCCCTGATTTCGGAAACTCCCATGTAGGGGCCTTAGTCATCAGACGAGGGTGTTGGGGCATAGAATCCTACAGCGGTAACCAGGAGCCTGTAAAGTAGTATGGGGCTTGGTAATTGTTTAAGCCCCTACTCCCGAAGGGTTCGAGTCTGAGGGGTTAGGGTTGAGGCTTAGGCGTTTAAGGCTTAATACAAACTTGCAGGCTTTAAGCCTTAAGGACTTAGGAGTTTGGGGTTTAAGGGTGTAGTGGCTGATCACAAGGGGCACTGGGTAGAGGCCTGAACAGCTCGACTAGGGCTGTGGGGATGTTTTACTATTTTGGCAACCCCACTATAACTATAGTATAGTGGGCCCCAAAACCTTGATCTAATTCTTATAGGCCCCTATATTACAGCGGCTTCTTCCCCTGCTTCCTCGCATGCCGAGCGGCGGTATGGCCTCGAAGAAACCATCAACGTCGGCAGTCGATGGGAGGCCATGACGCCGAAGGAGCCGCTGTAAAATAGGGGCCTATAATAATTAGTAGAATAAGAATAATACTAATAAGAATAATACTACTAGTAATTAGAATAGGGTTTTGGGGCCCACTTTACTATGACTATGATTATAGTAGGGAACACCCAAAATAGTACTCGTGATTATTTAGGCCCCTGTAAAACTGTGAATCGACAAAGCGGGCTATGTCCGTAGAGAGGGGAGCACCTGACAGATGCGAATGTGTACGACTCAGGTTCAATGTTCGGAAGGAGTTCGGAAGAACTGGAGGTCCTTTTCGTAATTACGCTTTCAGCATTTGCAGATCTACTCACGTTCTGGAAAGTGCTAGGAGTCCAAGTGTGTGCAATTCGAGTCCTGGAGCCCGACAGGTTCCGACGCATGGGCTGCAAGTAGTTATGAATGAGCAACATGACCGTATTCTGCGTCGTGAAACTTTTGAGCCAACAGTACATGAACAACACATGAACAACATGTACCTCGCTTGCCCTGCGCACGCACGCCCAAGATCCTCTTACTGGCAGTCTGCTCAGGCACCTTCATCCGCCTTCGACGTACAACTCCCAGCCAACACAACTGAAACACAAGGCTTAAGCAACCACTCTGCATGTTGGGTGTTTCGCCGGCGCACCGGGTTTCTTGAAAAGGCTGCTTAGCAGGATGCCGCTCCCCAAAACTACACACACAATCGCCATAGAAGAGCTGGATGAGCTGAACATTTGCAAAGCTCTTCTCCTGGAATGCGCGTGAGAGAAGCCATTGCTTCCAACGGCACGAACTCAGTATGGCATGGACAAGGGTGAGGGTAAGGTGGAGGTGTTCTTTCTTTCATTCGTCATTTCTGGGGCATGGGGTGCGAAGGGTGGGATTCGGATGTAAATACAGGATAGCAAAATGGTTCTGTGAACAATTTTGTACCCGTTTCGGACGTAAATCAAGCTCAACAAACTTCCAAATCGAAGGCCCTGGACAAAAAACAAGCACGTGCCTTGAGTACCTTGCGACAAATAGTTGGGGAATAGTTGGAAGCCCAATCGGACTCTGAACAGACACTCCCACACAAACAGACCCACGCCATGAGTAAAACAAGCCGTCGACTGTGCTCTCTCCTGCAGGGCTTCAAGTCAGAGGTATTTCTCGACGGGCATCTGGGGGGGCTGTAGGACTCGAAGAAGACGGAAGACGCAAGTGCTTTTCTCAAGTCCATCTGCGCTCTCGGCAACGAACTGTCAGCAAACGCTCAGCTGTACAAACTTGCACTGTGGAAGGTGGACTCACAGCATCTGCTTGCCGCGACTCGTATGTCTACATGCAAACTCGAAATCTCCGGCCCTCGCTATGCGACCCAACTCTATTGTAATTTCTAGGACTCCTTCTGATACTACGGCCAACAAATACGCTCTGAAACCCTTCCTTGTATATTCCATTCCCTGCGATCCATCACGCCACGTCTGAATGACTCCGGAGATCCATTCTACCTTTCCTTAGCAGGTGTGAAGACGCACCTTACATCCAATTGAACAGCCCGAGCATTTTATATGCTGGGCGAATTTCGTCGGTGCTCATTTGAGCAGGCGAACGAACTAACTACGCAGACTACTCAAGAGTCTGTGGAGAGCCTGGAATACGTCTTCTGCATAGCTTTGCCAGTTCACACAATGCCGTGCAAACCAATCGAGTCTATCATCTTCACAGGACTTGCTTAGGCTTAGCCCCAACCTGCAGTAGCTCGTCAATCATCCTAGCTGAGCCGTATGTCACTCCACGGCACATGGCTGGCCTCACAGGATGACACAAGACTGAGCTCAAGTGTGCCGCACACAGCTGGAATTGCCTTACATGAACCCCTCTTCAACGGCCTTTCGTGGATTCCGATCTCCTGCCCGTACGTCACTCCAATCGGAGCCCTTCTCCTTCAAGTGAAGCAGCTGCAATGGATGTGCGAGTAGCCGTAGCTAAAAGAGCTGGTCAAAGCGGAGAGGAAACACATGCTTCAGGGAAGGAGCAAAGCATCCCAGAACAAAGTCAGCGTAGCATACACAAGAGGAAACATACCAAGATTCAGGATTTAGTGTCTGCGGTTCACTTGTACGCAGAAGTACCAGCATTCTTTCGTGTCGCCAGTATACTCGCGTGGACAATTAGACAGAATGTTGACCGGATGTCAGCACAACTCTCTCTGCTCCGCGCATCGCGAATAGAAGCGAACTTGTTGTGTCTACTTGGAGGATCATGGAAATTCGTAAGTATGGTGATAAGTACCTGACCTGGTCTTATAAGAAGTTGAACGGAAACTTGGCACACCTCCGGCCGAACAGGGCCATTCGAGGCCCAGGCTTGAGCAACCTTTCGGACAAAACTGCGACATCCAGTCATCCAGGCCTGAAGGTCTGTAAGAAATCTCTATTCGGGGGGTTTAGTCTTTAGGGTTTAGGGGGGTCTATGTAGGATACTGCACCTGGACATCTAGAGTTTAGGATAGTGTACCTGCCAGTACCTGCACAAACCTGCAATGCTGCAACCTTGTGCCCAAAGCTTTGGAGGATCTGCTAGAAGTCCTCGGCGTAGCGGTGCAGGCCATGCGCCGGGATGCGGTGCATGAGGTGGCTCGGCCTCATGCGAAGCTTTGCAGGGTTCAACAGTTGCCGATTGTGGGGCCCGTACCCCGGTTTCACAAGCACCAACCGCGAGCAAGAACACCAACACACTCAAGTGCCACCCTGCCCCAAGCCCGATATGTGGTGAATGTCGGATGCTGCACAATTTGCATGGCTCGCGGCGGGAGCGGTCTGACTGAGGTGCCCCTGGCCGCGTGCGATTTAGAGGTTTAGTGCTGTGCCAAGAGTCCTACTGTGAAGGATTGTCATCATGAAGAGCAGCACTTCCACTTGTCTGCGAACGACGCTCGAAAGTAGTCTGGCTGCACTTTTTCCAGCACCAGCACGAGGAAGTGGTCATCATGGTCGTCATCTAAGTGTTCATGCTGGCTTCGGCGCCGTCTCTCTTGATCGCAGTATCTATAGTGACATAGTGGTCCTACAATGGCTTGGTGACGACATGTCAGATGCAGCAGAACCCTCGATGCGGATGCTCGTGCAAAGGCTCTAAGATCCCTCGCAACTCTCTCCATGCTGGGGCTTTTGAGCAGTTGATGCCATTTTCGCAAGTGCGTCGACACCAAATAGGATTCCAAAATCGCTCATGTCCTTGGGCAAAAGTTCCTTCCACCGCACCCTTCGATGTCTCGCATCTCATTGCTTCGGTCCAGCCGAAGAACGATGCCACTCACAATGCGCAACGAAGGCAGCTTGCGGCATGAGGTATCGAGATGTTGCAGTCGCCCCCGAGCCCACGCGCGCATTTCCCAGCTTGGGCATCTGCTTTGTCATCGTGGCCTCTTCCGAACATCCCATGAGACTCGGCGGAATAATCATCACCCCATGTGAGCTCAGTAGGTAATGCCATGCTTCTGAAGCAGTGCTTGTGCCACCGGTTTCCAATACTCTGCAGTGGACAGCCGAATGCCAAAGGTCAGCGCCAAGTTGCCTTGGTCGCAAAAGGTGCATGCGCTGCGGGCTGCTGCCTACGCAGCAAGGCTCTCCCAAACTCTCACACACGCGACCTCTTCCGGACAGGGGCAACTGTCCTCGCGCCCTTACCCAACTAGTATGCAAAATGGATTGGCGATCCGCACTACATCCTCAAGCGATGGGTTTTAGCGTAGAGGCACCTGCACCCTTGTGTACAGCACAATAGTTGACCCGTAGCAGTCATGAGCTGGCGGTTGCTTGAAGCATTTCCGTATGAGCCAGTTTGCCACCATCTCGGAAGAAATTTCTTTCAATACCCAACACCTGAAGCCAAATCCGGAATCTCAGTAATAAACTTACCCCACGGAATGCCACGACCTTCGCAGTCGGTAGGGCAAAGGGCGTATCATGCAGGAGCATCGCATGACCAAATGGAGCTCCTGTGGCATGTCGAGCAGTGGATCTTCGGCCTCCAGGGCTTTAATTCGTCGTCGCTGGTCTTTAGGGTTTTTTTTCCCCTCCTACCTAGCAAGGACGAAGCCCGCATTGCAGGGTGTCTCAGGGTTTAGGGTTTAAGATTTAGGGCTTCGAGTTTAGGGTTTCGGCGCTCACACTCGGACAATCCAGGCGAGGCATGTGGTTCGGAGTCTGACCAAGTGAAACGCTCTAAGGGGACAGTTATATGACATGTGGCAAAGGGTTTAAGGTTCAGGGTTTAGGGTTGTCTGTTCAGGAACGTGAACTCGCTCTACCGGGCTCTACCGGGATTATTTGTTGAAGGGGTTTCAGCGCTCACACTCGGGTTTATTTAGGGGTTTACGCTCTCGCAACTCGGACGCATCCAGACGAGGTTCTTGGTCGGCGGGTCGGGTAGGGTTGAGGGTTTAGGGGTCAAACCCACTAGAGCTTTTGGCTTTGCTTGTGCGCCGCAAGTCTTCTTCACCGAGCTGCTCAGCTCTAAAGCCAAACCCTCCCTTAGACGACCTCTGCCCAGGCCAGAAAGTCGTGGAAGGATCGACCGCCGGTCACGTCGTCCGTGTCCCGGTCCAACCAGAAGGTCAAAACCTTGTACCTCAGCGTAACATAACCCTAAACCCTGAACCCATACTGATTAGAAGTCATATTGGTGTTTCGGCGCTCACGCTCGGGCAATCCAGGCGAGGCATGCGGTTCGAGGTCTGTTGAGTGAGACTGGACTAGGTTGGGACAGCTGAAGTTGTATCAGCAAGACAAACTTAGAATCGTCAGAACAATGTCAAACTGCCCTATGCTTCTCCCGCTCTCAAGGACAATGCTGAACCTACCATTCTCAGTTTAATGACTTCTCAGTTTAATGACTGCAGGACCTTGAGGACTATACACGGCAGATCGCACAGGACGGGGCTAGGGCATATTGGGGTTTGGGGCTTACTATGACTACACGGGTATGCTAATCCCAACGATTTCGACCCCTTTGCATCCTCTAAGTCCGGTTCACTTACCGTAGAAGCCCAAAAGTTGGAAAGCCGACAGCCTCAAGCCTTAAGAGTAATGTATAGGGAATCCCAGCACTCTTTGCCCTTAATCCGGTATCCAACTTTATGGGGTCTACTGTAGTCCTTTACCGGCCCTTGGAATACTTTGGAAGCTCGCTCCCAGCCCGAGAAGCCTCACATCCGGCTTCGAGTGGCGAGTCTGGCTGCCCATCTCCTTCAGATTGGAACAGGCTGATGATATGAATCCTGCCTTACCCATATATAACAAGGAATATACCATAATTCTCATAGCCTAGGGTCATCCAGGCAATGCAGGATTCATATCATCAACCGAAAGCTCTCACGGTTCGCCCCCTGAAGCCTCAAGTCTAGAATGCAAAGGTACCTGGGCCCTCAAGGATAGAGATGCCCCGAATAAGGCGCAGCAGCACTTCCTCAAAACGACGAGAAGCCCTCGAAGCTGGATGAACTGCTCGAGACTATAGATCAGAAGCTAATCGGCTATTGGACTTGGGGAATGACGGCGACGACCAGCGCAGTGCTCCAAAGATTCTGCTCTCCCTAGCCAGCAGCCGCTTAGTAACCCCGTCGTCGTCTGAAAAAACGGGCAACATTGTGTGAACTGTCGTGAAGCCACTGTCATTGTCCTTGTCGAGCCGTATCACCTCTTCCTGATCTCTTCTTGCCAAAGCAATCATCCTTGGCTGCTTTCGGTGTTGCTTTCCCGGCATGTGCTTCTTCAATCTTCCGAACTAAACATCCGATGATGACAGCTTTCAGCGAGTGGGATGGCCAGTCTGGCCTGCTGAAACTGCATGGGCTACTGTAAGGCATCCTTCCTGGCCACATCGGCGATTCAAACACCCTACAACGGCATACCCAGGCTCTCCAATCACCAAAGCCTTTATGAAACCTGCAAAAGCCGACATACATACCGCAAGCAAACTTACACAACTAAACCCAAACAACACCTTTAAAACCATCATAAACTGCAATAGAACCCTACAGTATCAAGAGTAATTGCAAGAAAACCCACCGCACGACATCATTCGAAGCTTTCACTTCAAGCCAACTGGCAGCTTGGCGAGCTGGATCCGGAAGTCCATAGACAGCTCCTGACCAAGAGCTTCCGTCATGCAAGGGTCGTAATCTTGTCAGATTAGGGCTCCTTCAAAAGCTCTGTAACGGCATTACCGTCAATCCCGTCAATCAGGGTTTCGTGTACAGCCCTATTAGGCCAGTTTGGGCCTCAGTGCTCAAGCAGGGGTCTTATACTTTCCTATAAGGGGTGTTAAAACGGTTGTCACAATCCCGCTGACTATTGACTATTGCTTGGTGTACGGTGAGAGACTCAGGGTGTAGGCTACATGTTCCCCAAGCGCTAGGGGAGATTTTTGAAGGCTTATAGATGCATAGAGGATGGCCCAGTAGTGAGCTGAGGACAGTTCGGGAGCGACGGGACTGTGGCCAGTTTCCGAAAATAGGGGACCCTAATATAGTACCCTAAATAGTAGGATAAGTATTACAAGGACCCCAAAATAAGGCACCCCTTGTAGCAAGAATTCCTGGGTCCACAAGCCGATCCCAAGTTCTGGGTATCTTTGATGCTTGACTCGCACAGGCCAGGTGACAACTGCAACGACCGTCAGACAAGGTGAGAAGGAATCTACTAGGTGTTTTTCAAAAAAAAACTAGTAGAAGGTGAAAGGAATCTTGCCTTCTGCCATCGCTTCAGCTACCAAAAGACATTCGCAACTACCCAAGTGTGAGCCGATCTGAAGGGGTGACGGCTTCTAGCGGACATACTGACATACTCCATGGGAGGGGTGGCATCCAACTTCCTTCACCTGGCCGAAATCGATGAGACCAACGAGTCGCGAAGTATCCTGCAGGGTCAATGGAAGCTCGGCTAGGGTGGAACATGAGAAAAGGCCTCTCTTTTCACAACCTCTGGGCCTTGAGCAATAGCACGTTCCCCGGATGGGGATCGGCATTGAAGAGGCCGTCGGAAAACACCTGTTCCGCATGGATGGTCATGAGCCTCAGCTTCAATCCAAATGAAAACGGGGGGAGCTCGCTGAGCCTTACGATGCTAAGGCCCCTCGGACTTCTGAATCTGATCGGCCGTCCCCGGAACTCAATTGAGCGTTTTGTTTTGCGTGGGTCGTACTCGTCGGGGCTTACGTATTGGAGCCTCTTAAACCTCATGTGATCGATGGCCGAAGGAGCCTTGGTGCAAGGCCTTGCATAAAGGCAGTCGTCATTTAAGGGCAGCAGTACGATCTCAAACGAACAGCATAAGTGCGACTGCCGGAACACTCGTAAAATACTAAAGCTCTCACCCTCTCCAAAGACTAACGAGAGCAAATTGCAAGAAGAGCCGGGCGGCGTCTCCATCAGCCGCGGGATGTTCACATCCTCTATGCCCTGCAGTCGCTGCCAAACCTCCCATTCATCTCTCGACCCGAGAGTTTGCAGAAGGAGCCTAATGCACTTACTAGCATCGAAGGCCATCTAGGCCCATGTCTATCCCTCCACTCCACCGGAGTAAAGCTTCTCTGGTAAAGGTGTTGGAGGGCTGCAATTTGGGTGTTTCGGTGCATGGATGACTTCAGAGCGGTGCAGGATTATAACAGAACTTTAGACTATAACCAGACTGCCTTAAAAGCTTCATACGTCCATAACACATGGGGCAGGGCCTGGACAAACACCTTTTCCGAGATTGCCACCGTGACAACGGATAGGTTCGTTTGTTGCAGCCCGATACGTCGGAATGTCTGCTTGTGCAAGTTTGGGGCCGCCAACGTAACTTCGACGTCTGAAACAGCCAATCCGCAACCCCTCGTTGGCAACCACGCCTGCCATGCCCGCGCACGCCAACGTGCCACATAGGCCTGAGTGACGCTAAAAGGCTCTTTTCCGAAATCCGGCCTGTCAGCTCCGAACGGCTTGAACTTCAAACCAATACCCTAAACGGCGCAGAACGCACCACGGACGAAAACTACAAACCCCACGTGAAGGTGGATAGTGAGACAACAACAGAGACTACTGTGCCAGGACCGCCAGGACCTGAGCACGTCGAGTGCTCTGAATGCGACAACGGCACTGAAGTCCTGGAATGCACGCGGCTGCGGTGAGGTCGCGATGTTCGTCGAAAATGTGTATCGCGGTAACTTAACCCAACCCCCTGCACTGAATCGAGCAACGCGGGCAACATGCTAGCGGCGTAGTCCACCACGACCGGACACTCACAATGGAAGCTTACATTGCCTGCCAAACATTCGGGCTGGACTTATTGTACAGTTTATTCGCTTCATACCACAAGTGGAAATAATGCCAACACTCAGACGCATCAACAATGCTGAGTCTCTGGGGAGAGAGAGAGCGAGAGAGAGAGAGAGAGAGAGAAAGAGAGCGAGAGAGAGAGAGAGAGAGAGAGAGCGAGAGAGAGAGAGAGAGAGAGAGAGAGAGAGCGAGAGAGAGGGAAAGAGAGAGAGAGCGAGAGAGAGAGGAAGAGGAAGAGAGAGAGAGAGAGAGAGAGAGAGAGAGAGAGCGAGAGAGAGAGAGGGAGAGAGAGAGGGAGAGAGAGAGAGAGAGAGCGAGCGAGAGCGAGAAGGAGAGAGCGAGGGAGCGAGAGAGCGCGAGCGAGAGACTGAGAAAGGGAGAACAGCACAGCTCCCATTTTGGATCAGGGTTTGTTAGGGCCCCAAAGAAGCACATAAGCAAAAATAAGGATAGGGATATCCCATATAACCCCCATTAAACGGAAGGCCAATAAGGTATATAGGGCTATCCCCATAAACATGCTTGTGCTCATGTGCTTTTTGGGTCCCTAATTTGTGTGGCGATATCCTGATTCCCGTCAAAATACCCAAGATCTGCTTATGTAGATCCCAATAACGCGTTCCATGGGAGGGAAGCACCTCCGTAAGCTGAACAATGCTCCTGACTGGACAACGGTGGTCAAAAGCTGTCAGAGTCAAAAGGGGCTGCTGCAGGATTAAAGTCATGTCAGGACATGTGAAACGCGTCGCGTCATACCCTGTGCATCTTCCAACCTTGCTGAGACAGGCTTCAAGTTTAGCAAGAGCCATGAACAGTGCCACCCTCCGAAAAGCAGAATCGTTCCGCCACCTTCCAAACCGCAGCGGCATGGCTTCGAATGGCGTCGCTGCAGGGATACAAGCATAGCTCAGACTTTGGGGCTTAGAGGGTTTAGGGTTGCTACAAGTATCACAGATCCCAAAGGAAGGCAACCACAAACTGACCCCAATATGAAATTGAATGGAATGCCGCGCTGCGCTTCGTGGCATCAGCTTGCCCGTGCGAAGGCTGTCAAGGTGGTTGGCGATGACCCTAAGCTCTGTTATGGGTTTGGGGATATGTCATGGTACGCTTATATGGCGACTGTATGGGGGTAGTGTCAAGCGTCCAGGCTTCTATGTTACAAAACCGCAAATGCTTCTACTAGTACCTACGACATGGAGTGAGCCAGGTACGACGATTACAATGTCTAAACGAGACCCATGCAATGCCGAAGAACCACTGCCCCAGGACGTGGGCCGAACTCCGTTCGACAAGCGGGGCTATCGCACTTCTGAACAGGACGGGCGGTTCTACCACAAGTTGGCAGCCTTCCGACTTCCGAAGCTAGGATTCAGGGATGTTGGCGTGCAGCACGCCGGAAAGGGACCCGACCTTTCAACTCTGAGGCACACTAGACTAGTTCCGGTCTAAACATAAGACCAAGGGTCTCATCTGGATCTTGGCCAGCTTTCGCCGCCAGAGCACGGACACGCCGGAGCATGCCATCTACCAGCTTCTCTCCTTCGAGGTACTCCTGGATACATCTCGCTTCGGGTTCGAGGACGGTGAACACGGTGCGTGTAAGGTTCTGCTCGGAATTGAGGAAACATCTTGGAAATTCGGGCTTGACTTGTAGAGGATGTCGGGCCCTATGCTAACTTCAGCTAATGACGCCCACAAGTGCTAAAGGAGAACAAACACATCCATCTGTTTGTGTTTGTGTGTGTGTGTGTGTCTTGAAGCTTCAGTAGGCAACAAACATTGTTGGCCTAGTGTGGACGGGGAGTTACGCACGGAACGTGGAACCCCTGTCGCGTCTGTGTCAGCATTACCGATCACTGTCATCACGGTGCGTCAGTCAGTCAGTCGGTGTGTCTGTGTGCGTATGTGCGCGCCTGTCTGTCTGTCTGTTTGTCTGCCTGTTGTCTCGAATGTGTCTGTGTCCGAGCTTGCGCATATGTACCAGCCTGCTTTTGCATGAAGGTATGTGCGTATGTATGTATGCAGCACACATGTATGTTTGTGTGTCTGCTTGTCTGCCGGTCCGCATACATTTGTCTGTCTGTCTCTTTCTGTCTGTGTCTCTCCGTCCGTGTGTCTGTCTCTCTGTCTCCCTGTCTGTGTCTGTGTCGGCACATGCATGCATCTGTGTGTGTTGCGTCTGTTGTCCTATGTGTCTGTGTGTGTTTCCAAGGTCTGAAGCCAGCCAAGGTTCCATGCACAGAACGCGCCGGCTGCACAGAAGAGGATATGTCTTGGGAATGGCTACACCTTGCTCAGAGACACGATGCTCCAAAGTCTTCACCACACTTAGCACGAAAGTCGAGGGTAACCTCTGTTGAACTGAGCTCGAGGCGCTTTCCCCATCGTTGCTCAACATTTGCCCGCACCCGCTCCATGTTTTCCTTGGTGCGTCTATGTGTGTGCTTGTGTGTTGGTGTTTGACAATCCGCTGCTGCGAAGACAACAACACATATGGTCCGTGAACACGGGCTTTTCAACGCAAATTCAGCAATACTTGCATCGACATCGCGTCGGTATCGTCAAAAAATTCACTTAACGCTGAACAGATGCTTCAAAGCATCACGCTCTAAAGCGTAGTCGAACTCAGACTCGAACATGGCCTCCAGCTCACTCATGTGGTCCACTGCCCAGGGAAATGCAAAGCCTGTGCAAGATCCAAGCCATGTGGGAGTTTCCGAAAAACAGGGGACCCCAATATAGTACCGTAAATAGTAGGATCCTCATTAGAAGGACCCCCAATAAGGTACCCCATTTTTCGGAAACTCCCATGTGGCAGCTTGCATCCGAACGTCTCGCAATCAGTGCAGCTTTGTTCACTAGCAAGAGAGGATGCTCGAGGGCCTGGAACCTTGTGAAATTCGTTGATAAGGAGCTTCGTGGAACCCTGGAAACACATCAATAGAATCAATAGCATTGACTGGCTACTTCGTCTAAGTGATCAGTAAGGCGCTGGTGAATAACTTGAGCGTCTTGATATCCACGCGGAAGAGGTGCTCCGCGCCAGGCATCTGTACCTCAGTAGATCCCACAGACCCCATGCCCCTCTAGTGTCGGAGCAAGATTTAGCAATATGAGCACGGCACGACTAGACTGGCACGTGAGAATAATCCCGATTGGCAAGCCTGTGTTCCGTGTTCCACTGCCATGATCCCACGATTAGGCGGGCCCACTCCCGGAACGCAAAATTTGCTCCACGAAAAGACCGGCTGGCGATGTTTCTCGGGCGAAAAGGCATTTGCACGGAGCTTGGGCGCAGCGGCTATGCTTTGGCCAAACGAAGGGCCAGGCTGTGGCCACTAGCAACCAAGCCAAGCCGAAGCTTTCCAGAAAAACATGTCGTCTGGCGTGGCAGTAACAGCAGCGGTTGCAGTAGCAATCTACCCGTACCCTAAACCCGTACCCCTACGCCGACTCCCACTCCTACCAAAATAATTTCTAGGACTGTGACAACTACTACTCCTCCTCCCTGCTGCTACCACAAGCGCTTTAGCATGTCACTTGCCGCTTTCCAGTTACCTACTGCCCACTTCATACTACCTACAACATGCGACATGCCGACCTGGACAGGGGGCCTTTGTAAATCCTACTCCAACATCAGGGCGACTATCACCGACCGGCACGACTTCATAACGTGTCAGGCCGTGGGTGCACGTGCAAGATTTCAGAGTGCCTGTCGAATGTATGGCTTGTTTAAGTGGGGAAGTTCCAAACGCAACTATGCCCCGATCGACTACAGTAGGAAGAAGCGTTGATTGACGTCAGGGTGCCTTCACGGCGACGCGCTCACGGCTGGATCGCAACTGAGCAAGATACACCTGAAGTCTTTCTGCCAGAACACAATCGATCGTGAGAGAATCTGTAGACTGTCTGTTCACTAGCCCGGGCAAGCTGCAACAAGGGTCAATCCTGCCTGATCACGATGCTCAGCAGATTTTGTGGTCTGGACATCGGCTAGATAACTCGAGAGCATTCAGGCGGACAGTGGCGTTGCATTGAGTGGTCTCTGGATCTTCCTGTAATATAGTCTACCGTAGATATATCGGGACTAAAAGGATAGATGATGACTGGATTTTCTGAGCCATACTAAAACCGTATCATGAGGTGATCGTACGAAAAAAATTTCGAAAACCTCGATTGTAGGCCGAGCACTTGTCCGATCGATGCGGAGCCGATGGGCAGGGTGCTCCAGTCCTCGAAGATTTCATCAAGGCCTCAAGGAGTACCCTTTAAAGAAAGGCTGGTTTAGGGTTTTACGCTCTCGCAAGTCGGACAATGCCAGACGAGGTTCTTGATGCGCACAGTCAGACTACAGGGCTGCTCAACTCTACAAGGGTTTAGGGTTCTAGGGATTTGGCAATTGGGCGTCCTGAGAAAAAGAGAGAGACAGGGATGTGTGTGTGTGTGTGTGTGCACGTGTGTGTGAGGGTGTGAGGGTGTGACACAGACACACAGACACACAGACACACAAACACAGACACGGACACAGACAAACATCAAAAACGCGTGCCTTAGAGTCACAGTACGCATAGGTTTTCTGAGACCGCCTCTTCGTACAAGGATGTTGAAGGTCTAGGGTTGGTGAGAGTACCTCGAAGCTCATAACCCGACGTGCCGCTGTGAGGACCGAAACCCTTTTTTGAAACCGGCTCTCCACTTCGGAGGGAGACCGAGACCCTAAACCCTTAGACTGGACCCTACCTTAACCCAGAAGAAGCTACATTTTTAAGGACTTCTATAAAGAAATCATAATAAGGAACCCCAAGAAGGTAGGTTATTCAGGGTTAAGGTAAACCATAAACCGCTCGAAGGAATTTGAGCAGGGCGCCTCCCGGCTCACTCAAGCCGAGCTCTGTGGCGATGAACCGCCGAGCCTCTGTGGCACTCAGCGCGACCGGCGCTTCATCCTCGCCGATCGCCCCAACATGTAAACCCCAAACCCATGAGATAGTAATATAGTGGCCTGAATAATAATTAGAATAGGGCTTGAGGGCCCATTATGCTATACTTGTAACGAGGAACCCCCCAAAATAGTACAGGTAATTATTATGAAGGCCCCTATAGTAGCCACATCGCTTCTCTCCCTCAGCAGCCTGTGTAGACACCCTGCGTCAAGTCATAGGGACCTCTTGGGGTGGTATATTGTCCCCAACCCCCATCCCCCCTATCCCCCTTCGGGCCCCTATGATCAAGTCTCTCAGGGCTACTGCCTCCCACGATGCTCTCCTTAAGGCTCCTTTTGGGGTATGGCGAAAAGGGGCCCATACCTAAGCTTCATGGTCTCTCTCTCTCTCTCTCTCTCTCTCTCTCTCTCTCTCTCTCTCTATATAGATATTATATATGTCAATAGATATATACATACGCGTATGTATATCTATATATATATATATATATATATACATATAGATGTTGTGTGTAATTATCTGTCTATGCTTCGATACATGAGCCCATGTACAAGAAGAGCACCCATGTCTCCTGGAGCTTCTTGGCCCAAGCCAGATACTGTCGAGGGATGTAGTCATCCCGCCTTCGGCTGCTTTTGGAAAATCAAAAGGGGCTCCACCGGAAACCCCCAATATCAGGATCCTTTTGAGAGAGGCCGCCCTAAAGAAGGCGCCTCTGCGTTTCGAAGCACTATGTCAGGTGAGAGGGGTGGAGCGGATACCGAGTTGGAAGAAGGCGTTTCGACGACTTTCGCTTGAAGTTCGGCTGGCTGGTTTGTCCCGCTCGCCTGTCGAACATGCGACTCGCGCAACAGGTTTGAGGCACTGCGGAAACTCCCAGTAGACCAGTTTGGAATTATAGGTCAAGTGATGGACTCATTGACGAAAATGCAACCGTAACCTGCCTACGGCTTCGCAAGCAGTTGCAGTGTGTGACCTTGTTTATGTAGTACTTTGGTCCAGTTTCTCGCCGGTTCCAAAGCAGGAGAATCACCCTCAACAACAGCTCCAACACCCCTTTGCATCTGCCACGGGCACGGGCCAGAGCCGTGGCACTCATGCACACCGAGTGAGCGAATGATCTCTGCGAGACATTGCTAGTACGGCGAGAGTAGTCCCGAGCAAAAAGAGGTGGCAAAGCTCGTCTCCTGTGGCTTATTCCTGGAACTCTCGCCTTCATTTTGACGAACCCCGAGCACATCAGCACATCCAAGCCCCGCCTGGAAAACGAAATAGCTTCAAACACAAACAGCACCCATCCGCTTCTGGTTTGGTGCAACATTAAGACTCTGAACATCCTCATTTCTCCAGGTTGCATGGAGAGGAACTGCGCCACTTTCAGATAGTAGCCACGTAGTCTCAACGTGGCCGCCCGCACGATGGGAGAATAGAAATCATGCAGCCTCTCCTCGGAGCAAATTATGTAAGGGGTTAGGGTTCCTGGACCCTAAATAACCTACCTTTTTCAAGACTTAATTAGATAAGGAACTCATAATAAGGGACCCTTCTGTAGGGGCCAGATAGGGCTTCAAATTCA